ATCGGAATTAGAATCAAAGTGTCATCATTACCTGCCAGTTGTCCTCTGGATTTGCTCCTCGCTGAACTTTAATGATATAATCCTTGAAAATAAATATATATTACAAAAATCGAGCTAGTTGACAGAGAAATTCGAGAGGTTACCGATGGGTTTATAGAATTGTGTACTCACAACATATTCTTTTTTATCGATTCCTTCAAAAATGCACATCAAAGGTATAGTGTCGTCTACTACAGTATTTCTTTTGCTTCTTCGAGCCATTTCCGTGCATACAAGAGAAAAATGGCCCAATATCGGGCCAAAACTTTGCGAAAATCTTCACAAGTTACTCCTGCTGTAACGGCTCAAGCACTTCCAGCGGTATCTACCTATTAATATATGCACGTGATGTTATGTTACATAATTTTTGGCGGGAGAAGCAATCGATCACAAGTTGGTCGTCTTCATCAAATTKACTCTAAAATTTCCCTTTTCTTCGTTGCTATTTTGAATTTAAGATGCCTAAAGCTTCAAAGAAGAGTGCAAGAAGATCTTTAGATTCGGATGAGGTTAGTAAAACCGCGAAAGGATTGTCTGAGTTCAGAGGATGATCAGCTGTTGTGACTTCATCGTTTGTTGTGATTTTTCCAGGAGGATGCCCCTTCACAATCACAGTCACAACGCAAAGGAAAAGGACCTACAAAGAAAAGGTTTGTCTTCTGCTTCTGTACTAGAATGATGTAAACTGCACTGGCTCAAATTTCATGCGTACAGTACGTCACCTCCATCCTGCATGTACAGTAGGACTACTGTACCATTGATAAGTGTATCATAATCACATGGTTGCCATCATTGCAGTACAGTTTCATTTAAAAGCGCAGAGCTACCATTTTATTAAGCCATTTTTTTCCATTTTCAATTGAATCAGAGCCAAAGATAACGACGATTCATCACAAGCTTCTCCAAAAACACAAGATAAGCTGTCTGGTGATGAACTAGAGAGAAAGGTTTGATCTCATCCTCTAATTTGAATACTGCTGCATGACTGTAATAAAGGGATTGGGCTTAACTGCAGAATACCCCGCCACTCATACAGTACCGCCTGAAGTCACATGTACCTTCGTTCGCGAACAGATCGTGAGTGGTTCGCGATCACTGTTCGCACTTTGGTTGCGAACTGTTCGCAAAGTTGCTCGCGACTTGTTCTCACTTCGCTCGCACTTGGTTCGCAGTTAGCTCGCGACACCAGATGTTTGCGAACATAGATATGAACTGCACTCAAAACTAATGATTTGGGCATAATAATACTGAAGAGTATGTATACATGTACGACTGTAGGTCATAAGTTACATAAACTCAAGAGTTGCTTGCCACTATTGTAGTAGCTATGGCAACACAGTGGACATGGTAAATAAGATACAGCGATACCAGAATATAATATAAACGCACAGGGATACAAAACATTATGTACCTGGATACGCGGTGCTACGGCTATCACAGCAAATCCAAGACACAGGAGGAAAAATACTTGACTTTTGAATGTGTATGATGTACATGTAGCTGCGTGGCCAATTCACAAACATATACTTCATTCTATGTACATTTATATATCAAGACACAGGGAGATTGATACTGTGTAGCCACTACTGCATCTTTGAAATTTTCTCAGTATGGCATAGTACAGTATTCTGTAATTGCTTCAGTTCAGTGTATATGTATCAAGTAGTTTATTTACTGAAATTGTTGACATGCAGTCTATAGAGAACAGTCCTACTGCACATGTATGTTGAGGGCTGTTAAATGTTGTATTTTTACAATACTGTATTCTGACCAGGAATACCTTTGTTATATATAGGAAAACCACAATGCAAGCAGCTTTCAGTATTATTTTAAAGCAATGCTTGCTGTTTGTTTTGTTAAGGTTTCTGAGACAGTACGATATTTGTTGTTCAGTGACAGAAGGAAGGTTCCTATCAAAAGGGCTGGTGAGTACATTAGGAATTTTATATGCAAATGGGAGTAGGTGCATGTCAAAATCTGTTATACCGTATTTACTCATTTACATTCAAGGCTTTAAAAAGGCACTGTATTCATCTCTCGTACTACATGTAGATATATCAAAGAATGTATTGAAGGAATACCCAAGATCATTCCCACAGGTTATGGACCTTGCTAAGAAAAAAATGCAAAAGGTTTGTTTGGGATCTTATGTGTGACAGTGGGGATGTGCAATGTATGGAGTTGTGGTGGTGAGAGTAAAATAAAATGATGAATTTGCGGGGAGAGAACACAAATATCGAAACACGAGTGAAACACATGTTTTAATGAAACGGCAAGATTAGCTGGTCATGCAGACACACACATAACAAAACAGAAAACTAACATTAATCAATCTTGTTGAGGAATTTCCTCAACAGGGATTACTCTGAAGTTCTGAATAATCATATGTATGCTTGTTTATTTTAGCAAAATATTCCACTCTATACGGCTTCATTGGAGACTGTACAATTATTAATTTTCACTTTTTTTTTCTCTGTTCTTACCTTAGTTATTAACAATATCTGAAAAAAAATTCTGGAAAAGTCTCCCTATTAACAATATCTGAAAAAAAATTCTGGAAAAGTCTCCCTAAAGATGAATATTTTGTCTCCAAAATGAAAACAAAAACAGGAGCGAGCAGCAAAGTAAGACTGCAAATCTGGTCATCAGTGGACTTGATCACAAGGGAGACTTTGCTAATTTGGATTTTTCCAATCTATACTATTGCATTATTATGCTTTTTCAGAACTTCAGAGTATGACACAGGGGGGTTCGTATAACATTGGAGTGGGTATGATATGGGRGCACTGGGATGTTTGACTTTGGGATGRGGGWGTATATCATTGGGGTTTGGTGTACATGTGCATTTTATACAACATGTAGAGCATGTGCATGGAGTATTTTACTTGAAACTGTTATGTTCTTCAGGTATTTGGTATTATAGTAGAAGAAATTGAACTCACAGGAAAGGCAAAGGCTTATATCTTGGTTGATGGCTTGGAGTGTGAGAAAAAGAATGATTTACTTGAATGGTAGGCTTGAGACAATTTGATTGAATGATTTGACTTCCATTTCTAAAGACACAACACTAAGATGAGGGAATATATTGCCATTCAGCTAATTTATTTCATGAATTTGATATAGAATCAGTAATCATTTTCTCAGACATCATAGGTACTTAAGCTACTGATGGAAACTAGTGGTAAACTAGTACACTAAATGAGCTGCATCTGCATTTTTAAAGAAACAGTTGTGAAATGGCTTGTTCCAAAAAATATTTATACCGCCACGACAGTCAGCATTTTTGAAATAGCTTACTAAAACAATTTCACCTACTTTGTATTGTGTCAAAATTTATCTTATTTCACAACTTCTAAAAGCTACTACAAATATAATATGATTATTTTAACACCAGGGGAGATGAATCACACAGGATGGGACTGCTAATGGTGATATTAAGTCTTATATTCATGTCAGAGAATGTGATATCAGAAGGTACATGTACATTTTTTGAACAAGCTGAATTACAGTAAGCTAGTGCAGTTGTGATGGGTGCAGTAATGCATGGTTCTTGCACAGTCAAATGAATACTAAACATCACTAGTGCAATAATTGTGCATTACAGATAAGGCTCGAGGGAATATTGTAATGAGCACTCATGTAATTGTCAAATTGAAATTACAAAAATCTATGTACTGTAAGTTTTGGAAATAATTTGGGCAGACATGGTTTAATATGATTCGTGGCTAAATGTACTTATTTGATTGATTGATATATATAATGGTTGGGCTGTCTGTAGTTTTGTTATTCACTACTTTTTATATCAATTATCCATCAATGATTTCTTACTTCTTCTCAGCTCAACTTTGGCACACATTAAAGAAATTAGGCTTACAACAAAAGTATGTATGATTATGTGATGATTTGCAATGATTTCTACCTGCTGGTACTATCTATCAATTTTGTCATTTTTTCCAAGTCTCCCATGAAAGGTCATTTTCAAAACCATTGCATTGAAGAAAGAAGCTGTCAACCCTGCTTAGTGGCTCTACAGTGTGGGGGAGGTGGTGGGCAAATTGTTTTTTTTTCAGCCTCCTCTCCAAGACTCTTGTCTTCCCTCCCTCTCCCCTAAAGCTGCTACACAGGCTAGAAACTGTCAGGACTTCCAGGATCCTTTCTTCACCTTGTAAAGCTAAAACAGGCTTTCAATTGAAATCATCAGGCAGGGTCATAAAAAAATATCCTTGAAAATCGAATTGTTGTGCTTAAAAACATACTTGAAAAGATCATAAACTCTCTAAATACTTGAAAAGATCAGATATTTTGTGACAAAAATGTAGCACAAACCCAGTCTTGTAATGGGAAAGCTCGCAATCATACATGTTGCTGAATGTACAAACAAAACAAGATAGATGTATGTACAACTGTCCAAAAGAAAGAATCAATCTATGCTCACTATGTATTGTTGCAGAGGAAAATTCAATTTCATAATGTCAAAATGGTACTGGAGTCCATATGCATAGTTTATAGAGTTAGTCTCTCTCTACTAACTATGATATATGGTATTAGCTAACAAGCGAATAGCGGCCCCCTAAGGAATACCAATTTACAGATGATATTAGCAATGCAAAATACTTTAAATGGCACAAAAATTCGTTATATGGAACCATAATTCCTCGTTTTTAAGTGCTAAAAAGCTCGAAAAGTCGTCGATAAAAAATGTAGAAAAATATACAAGTCAAAAACGTATGGACCCCTATTCACTTGTTAGGTGCTTCTACAATGTATAGGGAATAGGGAATACAAACTAGCCTCTGGTACTACTTGGGAAGCAATTTACTCTGTATGGTGAACGATGAAAGGTTGATTCATTTATGTCAAACATTAATGTATGATATTTACTTGTAGATCAGAACATCCAGTATTCGGCGATCCAGAGAAACTCTTATCTCAAGAATTCGTCAGACAGGGGTATGTTTTCTATGCATCCTACAGTACTGTAGTACTTTTCCTCTCCTTCCCTGTTCAAATCTGCAACTAAGCTATGTAAAAGGCTCACGTGCATCCAATAACGTTTTTGCAAATTTCTCACATTCAAAAAAAATTGCCATCTTGATTCTGTAACAATCTGAAAGAACCATTCAACAAGAGATCATTTGAAAAACTGTAGAAACACTGTTTTAGCCTTTCTCTCTGCCCAAGGACATTCTTATTTTTTTAATTCTTATTTTTCCTATTTGTTTATTTATTTTATTTTATTTTTGTTGTTGTCTAGAATCAATCATTTTAAAGTTATTACATGTGCCAAGTCTTCGGTCAACTGACATGTTTTTCGTGCTGTTGTAGTTATATTGAGAAAAAGAAAATAGTCGGAGATGAAACATCGTTTGAGTACAGATGGGGAGCCAGAGCTTTCAAAGAAACGTCCAAGATGCAAGTGTTGGAGTTTGTAGCAAAAGTAAGTTATTATACATTTGTGTTTTTATTATTTGAAAGACCTCTTTTCATCCACAGTTGTTGTATTTAGCTTTGGCTAAGCCGTGGGCAACTGAATATAGTGGAAAAGTGGTTAATTTTAATTAAACTTAATTTTGATTTTAAAACTTGTTGGCTGCATAACTAATCTTTGTCAATAGAATTAAAAAAGTGGTTATTTGCTTTTAATGCGAATGTTTACTGAAATATATGGAGGTTTCGTTTGTGGGAACAAAATAAAAAGGCCGTTATACCAAGGGCGCTAGAACTGAAATTATGACCTATAAGATCCAAAAATTGCTTAATTTATCCAACATAAGTTAGTCGATGATAAATTGTAAAGTTTTACTTATCTGAAATATACACTGAAATGTCCTCTTAGACACTAAAAAGCACTTGATTTTACGAAATTCATCCAAATGATCGTTACTCAAGCGGTTGTTGCTRAATTTATTACCGCTGTCCTTGTTGTACCAGCCACTGCTGTCTCGCCAGGAACGTTATTCATTAACCGGATTAAAATCACTTTACCCTGGCTGAACACCAAAAGAGACAGGGGCAGGCAATAACTAGCGGCCCCTTTGACCACTCGTCTGACTCACTAATCGGATTAAGTTGACAGGACCTAGGGACACTGATGACAGATTAGCTCTGGCCGAGCGAGTCTTCGTTGGCCCGAATGTGACCTCGTCAGAGTTCGGGATTTGAACTAAAACGCTCTCGTCTTGAGGATGGTCAAAACTATCGCCATTTAAATGGACAAAGTGCCTGGCCGAAATCTAAGTTCAACTCCATTTGGAAGAAACCGAAATGAAAGCTAAATGTTAGTCGTAAAGCACCGCTCACAAACAAGTTTATGCGACTGACACTTTGAATATAATGCTGCTTAACAAAAAATGTACTGTTTCTATTTCTTAATTCAACGTTTTTAAACACGAATTCAACACACTCACATCTTAGTTTCATATGTAACAAAAATTATTGACGAGCGCTTCGCTCAACTTTTAAATGACTTTCGATTCAAAAACCGACGAGTTATAAAACATTGCGACGGTAGCGTATTTACTATTTCGGGCCTACAAAGACTCGCTCGGCCAGAGCTAATCTGTCATCAGTGTCCCTAGGTCCTGTCAACTTAATCCGATTAGTGAGTCAGACGAGTGGTCAAAGGRRCYGCYRGTTATTGCCTGCCCCTGTCTCTTTTGGTGTTCAGCCAGGGCAAAGTGATTTTAATCCGGTTAATGAATAACGTTCCTGGCGAGACAGCAGTGGCTGGTACAATAAGGACAGCGGTAATAAATTCAGCAACAACCGCTTGAGTAACGATCATTTGGATGAATTTCGTAAAATCAAAAGTGCTTTTTAGTGTCTAAGAGGACATTTCAGTGTATATTTCAGATAAGTAAAACTTTACAATTTAT